TTCTCAATCACCCTTCATTAGGGGCATGCGGGTATGGGTAGATAGTACATATTACCGGGCCACCCCCTGCATTAGCCGGCGTTACTCCGGTGGACGCAATACAGTTACGCAAGCACAATGCAGACCGCAACGTTGGTAACTGGTCTGCTCTGCCTGAGGTTTCTGTATACTGTATGTTGTTCAGTCATTCTCATTCTACCCTACACCCAGGACTAGACTCAAACTTGTTCTTCGGGATATTCAGTAGACACTACACCCTATCATTACACTGCACACCAATCCTCGACTGGTGTCTGTCCCACGTTGGCAGGTGTGGAGCCGAGAAACAATGACTATGTACACGCAGTCTACCGGTTACAACTTTCCCACTTCCGGTGCCTGTTCTCGGAGGCCTGTGGGAGATGATACCGCACTTTGCCCGCAGACCTATGTATTAGGTGTGTATTGGGTGTGCTATGTGTTTATTGATATACTGGAGGATCCTGCTTGACAAGCCTTTGCTTCTTGGGACCCCCCATCCACATTTCTTTATTTATTCATGACTATTCCAGTCCTCTCACAAAAATTCAAGTTCTTGCACTTCATTCAGGGCAGAGTAACTCTCTAGCCTTGACCCTGTCACTCTGTCGGTGTCCTAGGGGCCTTTACTCTGGAAACATTTACCTCCTACTCCCACCTGTTAACCATTCCCAACATTCAGACATTCTGGTGACTGGCTTTTGTAGGCAGATGTACAGATGAGGCTGGAGCTTTCCTGAACATCACTTTAAAGCATATTAGCCGTACAGGTTTTTCAATCTTCAGCTTTCTGTCATTTTTCCACTATCTAAGTACATGTAAGTTCGGCTCTCGTCCTTTGTCTGGGCCTTCATAACACAAGCATATCTGTGACCAGTGAAAGGGATTCTCAACTACTGGTTTCTACTGGCACTATGACTTACTCCTATGTCCGAACTTTCACATTTCAGGGACGGGAGTGTGTTGGTTACCACATTGTTGCTTTGCCAGATAAATCACTAAGGAGATACGCTCTCCCTACATCTTTGCCTCCTCAAAATACAGTTGTTCTTATGAACATTGGACTTCAAGATTAACTGGAAGGTAATCCACATCTCGAAGCCAACAACTCCTTTAATAAATACATATGCTTGCTCTCAGAGAAAGATATCACGCAGTAGAATAGACACTACATCACAGTGTGTCGGAGTCAGTCCCTTCCTTCATATGGAACATCTAGCTGCTGTTGTCCTATGCCAGACCCCCTCGCCTTGATGTCTCAGTCGCAATCAACCCTTTTCTTCTCCCAACAGGCTAGAGTTGTAGGGCATGTAAGACCAACATGCCCTTCTCTATTAATCTTACTCCCGCCAATTTTGTCAGAATTGGTCAGGAAAGACACTTCTCTTTCTGTCATTCAGACCTTCCTAATCCTGAAGTCTGACTTTCCTAGATTCCTAACATCCCTAACATCTACATTAGCAGCAAACAGTTCCCCACTACTCAAGGCAGGACAGAAAGTGTACATTTAGTGTTTCAAATTCAAACACCATTAAAGTGCAGTAACGGATTCTTTTCTTCTTCTATGGGACTCAGAACTGCAGTTTTCAATCAGACCTAGCAACTGTCTGCTGTCACAGTATGTGCTCCACCATTGACTCTCATTCCTTAGACAACACTTGACTCCAGGCATTTCCTTCCTGGTGTGTCCTTTTTAATGTTTCTTCCTAATACCAAGTCCATATCTGGCTGGGACTTGTGACGGGGCATATTCCTATCTTGATGATGGATGGCCATTTATCCCTTTTATGTCTTTTTATATTCTGTAGCCATCCCACCACCTAGACCGGTGCCACTCTGCACATATAGTGACTGTTTGGGTAGGTAGGGCGCCGTAGACTTCTCCTTCACAGTAGTGTGGGTCGAGTTTACTAGAAAATGCCTACCCAAACAGTCCTCTCCCACCCGTCCTTCCCACTTGGCTATGACATTCCTAGTTGCTTTCGAAAAGAAGGATTAACATGGTGGCATGAGCGCAGTGTATAGTGGGAGGTCAAGGGGCACCGTGGATGATTAAGTCTTTCCAATGAAAAGCTGTATGCGCATGGGAAATTTGCATATGTAGTGACAGATTGGGTAGGTATTCTCTAGTAGATTCGACCCACACTACTGTGGGGGAGGAATTTATATTATGTGTGTTTCCATGTACCCTCTGGTCAGGTGTGATTTTTGTTATTAAATTTTTGGATCTGCTTTCACATTATTAGAACTTATCATACAATCCTGAGATTTTATGGGCCCTTGGCAGCCCTCCTCTGGAAAATAATGCTACTCTGCATTAGTAGGTAATTCAGGTAAGTTGACCACTCTAAACTCACCCCCTCCCCCCAACAAAGGTGTGGTACCAGTTTACCAGAGAATACTTTCCTGAATCACAGATTACTTCGCCACTCCGGCAAGGACACTGAAATGCTTTTGAAAAAGGACGAACATGGCAGCAGTGATACTTCGCATTGTGGCAGATGAGGCCACACTACGGCTTAGATGTCCTCTTACCTTTTAAGTCAATATCCACCAGAACAATTTAATGGTCTGAAATTCCATCTACCACTTTGACATTTTGATTATTTGTGAGGTCAAGACCAACAATGCTTAGTCTATTTCTTTTGAATCCTTTTTGGGTCTTTGATAGATTGTGTAAACCAGAATTCAGCAATCAAGCTGAGAAATTTGTCCCTTACCTATGTGTTTTTGTTCTTGGCTTGTTGTAGTTTGGCAAATTAAGTTCTCCAGCAATGATGACGGGGTTAAATTTCTTAATTTATTTGAGTACCCCTGTGCTCATCAGCAGATCTGTAGTGCAAGCGTTAGATTGTGTTGCCTGCTATCCATTTAATTTCTGTCCAAATCAGTTTACAGTTACTTTCCTCATTGAAATTTCATGTGATAGCAATCAGTGCAGACTGCTTGGAAAACTCTCCCTCTGTATTGGTGTCTCAATCCTTTCAAAAGACTTTGTAGTCAGTGGGAAAGATGTCTGCACTTTTTACAGACTAGTTAACCACTACCAGCCGGGGACTCCGAAATCGGAGCCGTATGGTTTATATGTGTGGCCGGGGTCTCCGAACTCGGACAAAGGAAACAGGGCCCTGTAACAAAAGACAGTACTCCGAACAAAAGACCAGGCTGCTGGGCATGACCGGCATTTTTCACTCTCGAAAGTGCTG